GTACCCGTCAACCTCAAGAGACTGAAAACCCAGCCGGTATCTCTGCAGCGAGGTTTGTTGGACCGACTTCCAAGCAAGGATGCTCCAGTCCAGTGGATACAGGAGCTCTCCTGAGGTCCATGACGGACGGCCCACTTAAGTAGGTGCCCCACAAGTGAGCGCGCCCGAACTGCTGTCCTGGTTGACACTCCTACGGCAAGGGGACGGCTCTCCGATTTTTGCACTCCACTGAGAAAAGTGGGCTTGTGGCTTCCCAGTTTTATGATGTCGTGCTTGGGCCCTGAAGTTTCGCGACTGTTTGTCCTTGCTATCCCTAATGCAGCTTCCGAGGGCTCCTTCGTGCTTTGGATAGTCTTAGCCCAGAAATGATTTTCCTGTTCTTTCAAATACCTCCATAAAAAAAGAAGTTTGTAAAAAAAAGAAAGATGAGCTTTCAAAACCACAGAACATGTTTCCAGATCATGTTGTAAGAAAGTCAATTTTTTGTTAATCTGAACGTTGAGAGTTCTTAATGTGTGCACTGTGCTTGTCCTGAGACAGCTTTGCACATTTCTTTTTATCGTTTTCAAAAAGTTTGCTTAAAATGGTGGTTGTTCCTAACCATTGAACAAACAGACCAGGAGGCAGCCAAGCTACAAGTCCTATTTATTGTCACTTGCTTAAATGGAGTATTTTCCATTTCTGTAACACATTTGCAGTATCTGCAGCACTTCAAATGTAATCCTGTGCACATTTACTTGGGATTAAGGCTACAGTGCTTTAAAACTTAGAAGAACCCTGATCAGTGCCTTAATACTGAAGATGCCCAATACTGACACCAAAGGGAGAAAGCCAGTTTGACTGTAGTTATGTACTCCCGTGCAACCGAGCCTTGGATGATGTAAAGGTGGTTCCCCAACACCAAAGAATTATTACACTCATATCCTTCCTTCGAAAGAGATCAAGGTGGTGCGTATGTTTTTCCACCCACCCCCACTTATCCTCACCAAACCTCGGATTTAAATATTGTGTAGATATTGGTATTCAAGCATTTTTAAAAGTTGCACAACAGGTCTTTCCTAAATATGCCTAGGTTATTTACTCTCAGTAGAGAGATACATTTAAAGGGACTTGCGTAGAAACCAGCTGGGCAATGAGATTGCGAACATCTCCCAAGCCTTTTCCCTGTTTATACTTCGGAACCAATTTATCTGGAAGTTTATATCCCCCTTGATTTCCCTATAACTTTTCCCAAAGAAAGAGCCGCTTCACAAAATTATCTCCCAATCAGACAGTGGGTTGCACCCATGTTAGTCTAACTTCATCAACTCTAGTCTTACGGCCTTGGGTGCAGCGCACAATTCCATGTACACTTGTCATGTGTAATTCCGGGAATCTGACGCACAGGCGGCTGTGGCGAACTACAGCATCCTCATGTGTCTGGAACCTCTGCTCAACTTGTGGAACTTTTTGATTTCCACGCAGGGCTGGTTGGTGCTTGCATCTGCCTCACTTCTGATTGCCACAGGCATCAAGTGTTGACTTGCATGTTTGGATGAGTCACCACAGATCAAACAAGACAGACAGACCTTTTAGATCACTTCACATGCCGGCATTTTTCTATAGAAGTAAGTTCACTTAATCATTTGGGGAGCGGTCATTGCTGGTATCTTTCAGCCCAGCAGGGAAGTCCTTTGCAAGTTGGAAAGCAGGCCTGACCCTTGCAAGTGTGTGCGTGTGCGTGTGTGTGTGTTTGGCACCACACCAATGTGAGCCGGGCATTTTCAAAAGACGAGTGAATCATCCCGTCTGAACTCTTTCCTACTTCCCCAAAGGATTGCAAGATCCCATATATTGCACGGGACAGAATTGCGCCGACCAGTACACATGCAAATTCCTGACTCCGCCCTTGAGTTCTTTTCGTAGTACTAGAAATGAATGTGGCTGAAGTCTAGGCCCGGCGTGCAAGAGGAGTTACGCTACGCCGCTGGGAAGAAGCTACTGACTGGGTCTGAGTGTCGAGTTGTCAAGATGAGAAAGCAAGTCCTGTGCACACCCGCATGTGACGTCAACCAGCCTGCAGAGCACACTTGGCTCACACCTAGCCCTGGAAAAGTGACATTGCAAACCTCCAGCTTTTCTTTCTTTCTTTCTTTCAAGAAAAAACATCTAAGAAATGTGAACGACGACAACAACAACAACCACCCCGAACAACCATAACGGCAGTAATATGTCCGTAGGAAAGAGAGACCTATAAAGCGTCCCTTAGGGGTTTAAGATATCAGCCTCAGGGGACAGATGGGGGAAATCCCGGGATAGCTCCCCACTTTTATGGGGTTGGCTACTGTTCGTTTCTGGAACTTGACCGTTTAAAGCAGTGCTTCAAAGCACCACTTGCAGTAATATTCTATTCTGTTTATTTTGAGAAGTGGCATGTTGCGCTGGGAACGTGGAAAACATATTTTTATCGCCTCCCTCCCGCTCGGGAGTTGGCAGGATTGCTTAGATTTAGGTAGCACAGAGGGCAACTCGCTGCTACAGAGGCTCCTGGTAACTTTTTTAATAGCCGTGCATCGTAAATAATGGGGCCCTGCGGCAAATATCGATCCCCCTCGCCACTTGCGAAAGCGCTCGCAGTGGGCTCGTCCCCACCTCCCCTGCGCCCTGATTGGCTTCGCCACCCGTGCGGCGAAGTTCCAGAGGACTAGAAACCAGCGGAGACCGCGTGTCAATTGCCCCCGCCGGTACGTTCAGGCTAATCGGCTGCAACTCGCTGCTCCGGGGCTGGTGCGCAAGCGGCACGCGGGCTCCCCGGCGCGCGGCGCAAAGCTCGGCGCGATCCCCTGCGCCCCGACGGCTTTTGCGCCCCGTGGGTTTCGGCGGAAGGGGGAAGCGCCGCTTGGCCAGGCGGGGAGGAGCGGCGCGCTTCCCAGCCCCGGGCTCCTGAAGAGGGGGGGGGGAGGAGGAGCGCAATCCCGCCCGCACCGTGGGCTTCCCTCGCACTTCCCCTGCCCTTAGCGGCGGGGCTCGGGAGAGCGCCCAGGACGCGGAGCGCCAACGCGCGCGTCGTCCGCGGGAGCGCCCGAGCCGGAGGACGCACCGGGGGCTCAGCCGCCCGGTCTCGCCTCCAAGTGGACGCCTTGCCAGGCAGTTCCAGCCACGGAGTCACCTGTTGGTCGCACGGCGCGCTCCGCACGACTCCTCGCGTCTGAACGGTGGCGAAGTTACGCCTGACCCCCCCTCAACAAAATACAGGGGTCCAAAACAAAGCGCACAGCCCACGCCTCACGCATTCCGAGCAAGTGCCGACGAACACCTTCAAACTGGGCACTCCGTTCAGCAAAAAAAGCCTCGCTCTTAGCAGCGCGAGAGAACAAAAGCGGCGGCGGGGGGGGGGGGGGGGCTTCTAGGCGAACATCTGCCCGCTTCTCTCCCTGCCCCACCAGCTTTTCGCTTTGAGAATCCCTTCCCACAACAGATGTTATTTCTCAACTGCATTAAGTGTAAGTACCTTGGGCTCTTTGATCCATAAATGCCTATTATTTTCCGGAAATGCTATATATCCCCCCCTTCTTCGAGCGCTTCACGTTTCATGCAAGCCCTTCACTTCATACAACAAAGCGCTCGGATAAGGACCAATAATTACCAGGCGTTCCTCGCCACTCTTATGAATAAATATATAACTTCCAGCCCTTCCGTTCTCTCTGGGCTTGTTTGCAAGCGAGAGAGAGAGAGACAGAGACAGAGAGAAAGTAAAGAAAGGGAGAGGCACAGATCCTTCCTCCACCTCCTGGCCCGTGCGCCTTAGTTTGCAAAGAGATGCTTCTTTGAAAGTAACCATGCACATTTGAAAGGGGAGGCGCGCGAAGCCGCCAGCCCTCCCCCAGCCTCCTTGCGGAGGGGGCTGGCGGCTCCGCTCGGGGTTTCCCTCCGGTTGGGCCAGGCGGGGCTGCAGAGCCGTGACTCGGTCCCTCGCGACTGCCTCTCCAGCGTGCGCTGGCTTCTCTATCGACGCGTGTTGACAAGCGGCTGCATCTCCCCCCGCCCCTGGTGGAGCGGAGAGCGTGCGGGGGGATAGTAAAAAAGAAAGGGGGGGTTTGGAAAATTACAGCGCTCTCCCCGGACGGGGCGCGACGCGAGCCGCGTCCCCTGCGCGGCTCCCCGGCAGAGGAGCGCGCCCGTCTCCCTCGCGCTGCGCCCCCAAGCGCGCCCCGCTACGCTCGCGGATCCTGGTTGGATAATTTGGGTTAACACCAGCCGGGGAGACTGGGGCGGCTTCAAAGGGTATTTCAAGTTGCCGGAGCTCCGCCCCTCGCTCTGTGCCGTGTGACAACAACAACTCGTCCACGGCCAGAGAACGGGAGGCTGGAGCCGCGGCGGCCGCAGCAGCAACAGCAGCGGCGGCGGCGGCGGCGCAGTCGCCGGCCCCGGACAGCCCTCGCCGGCAGCAGCAGCAGCGCGTCCTTGCAGCCTCTCCTCTCTCCTTCCTCCTCCTCCTCCTCCCTCCCCGCCCCGCCGCCCTCTTGGCCAACCTTTTGCTCAATGCCCCGGCAAGGGGAGAACTCCAGCCCGCCCGCTTCCTCTCCGACTAGGCGCTAGAGCGAGCGCCGGGGCGCGGGGCAGAGGAGGAGGAGAGGGGCGTGCGCGGGGAAGAGACCCCCGGCCGGGCTCTCCCCGCGGCTCCCGAGCGCGCCTCGCAGCCCCGCGCGGCCGAGCGCGCCCCGCTCGCTGCCGGGACGCTCGGCGCTGCCGCTCGCCCCCCGCCCGCGCGCCCCCGCCCCGCCCCCGCCCCCCAACTTGGCTCGGCGGCTCTTCCTCCCGCGCGCTCGCTGCTCCGCGCCAGGAGCCAACTTTTGCCTGCCTGCCTGCCTGGCCGCCGGGTTACCTGGTGCTCTGGCCGGGGGAGCCTCCCGCCCCGCGCCCGCTGGCTGTGCCCCCTTCTCGCGGAGCGGTGGGTGGCGGTCGTCGCGGGGGGGCGGACTGCTGCTGCTGCTGCTGCCGCCGCCGCGGCTAATGTGACCATGGCTGTCCCGGCTCCTCTAATCCCTCCGACCCAGCTGGTGCCCCCTCAGCCGCCCGTCTCCACCTCCGCCGCCTGCACCACCAGCACCAGCACCAGCACCGCCGCGGCCGCCTCTCCCCCGGCCAGCGCGCCGGCCGCCGCGGCCTCGGCGGGCGCAGCCGCCGCCGCGGGGACGAGCCTCTTCCGCCCGGAGCCCGTCGTGGCGGCGGCGGCGGCGGCGGCCACCTCCAGCAGCGGAGGCGGGGAGAGCAACTGCAGCGCCAGCTTGGGCACCGGCAGCGCTTCCAGCGGCGGCGGCGGCGGCGGCGGCGGCTCCAGCGTAGCGGGCGGCGGCGGCGGCCCCCCTGCCCCCAGCGCCGGGACCGCGGGCGGCGGGGGCGGCGTGCCGGGCAAGCCGGTGTACTCGACCCCATCGCCGGTGGAGAACACGCCGCAGAACAACGAGTGCAAGATGGTGGACCTGCGGGGCGCCAAGGTGGCCTCCTTCACGGTGGAGGGCTGCGAGCTGATCTGCCTGCCGCAGGCGTTCGACCTCTTCCTCAAGCACTTGGTGGGCGGCTTGCACACGGTCTACACCAAGCTCAAGCGCCTGGAGATCACGCCCGTCGTGTGCAACGTGGAGCAGGTCCGCATCCTCCGGGGCCTGGGCGCCATCCAGCCCGGCGTGAACCGCTGCAAGCTCATCTCCAGGAAGGATTTCGAGACCCTGTACAACGACTGCACCAACGCCAGGTAGCGAGGGGGAAGGCGAGGGCGGGGGGGGGGCGGCGGCGGGGGGGAGTGCGCGCCTCTCCGCGCCTTGCGCTGCCTCTGCTCGCGCGGAGCGCTTCCCCCGAGGACGCGCGCACTTCCCCGGAGCGCCTCCGGGGCGATCCCTCCCGCGCCTGCCGAGTGGAAGCACGTGCGGCCCGGCCCTAAGCCTCTGCGACTCCGAAAGTTCAGCGGGACTCGCAGCTCGGTCCTGTTTACGTTCATCCTTGGAAGTGATTCCCACTCCTGTTTAGCTGGCCTCACTCCCAGGGCTGCTACTTTGGAAAGGAGTTTAGGATTACGCAGTTTAGGAAAGAGAAGAAAAGCTGCCCTTTTTCGTTTCTGTCACTTTGAAGTCCCTCCCACCTTCTCTTTTAAGCCGACTTGGAAGGGGAGGTGGAGAAGGGATGGATGCAGACATGAGCGCACAGGCCTGGTGTCTGGCTGGGAAACGGGGTGGGGGCTCGGGGTCACCCAGTCCTGCAAGCCGTAATCTTGCACAAGTGCAGGCACAGGTGTGTGAGAAGGAGAGACAAGGCGCACCTGCCGAGGGCCATCTTTCCAGCCCCCTCCGCACGTGCCAGGAAGGAAAGGTTTCCTACAAATAATGCAGGGAAGTGGGATGTGGAAATCTTAGCCCTGAGAAATACTCAGAACCGAGTCTTTTAAGCTCTGACAGCAAGTCATCGCAACCTAATCAGGGAGACGTTACTAATCTTCTGATTACAAAGGCCTCTTAAAACCACCACAATCTTCCTGCTTTTTTTTTTTTTTAACATCCAGAACATTATTCCTTCCACTAGGGTAAGGGGATATTAGTGAGAGGGAGAAGGAGGCAGGGGTGGTGGGTGTGTTTATCCCTTTTCAGGACACACATTTCTCTAGTGGCCCATTGTGTGCACACTTGCTTGCAAGTGTGCTAACAGCCGCATGCTCCTGGGCATTGTGAGTAGGCCCCGTTGTTTTCAAGGTCTCACAACACATGCTGTTAGGACTGTGGTGTGGATCAGCCAAGTAAGTTCCATAATCATTTCTCCGTAATGTATATCACACTAGACGGGCTATAAGGGACTGTGTTGATGTGCTCTGAGTGATACTGCCAATTGTGGCAGTTGTTGGCAAATCATTTCCCAACCAGGGTGTGGGATCTATTGAATTAGATTAAGCCTTTCACCTGTGCTGAAAGGTTAGTTTGGTGTGGGGTGCTCCAAATAAGGATTTCTCTTCTGAGAGATACTTAATGAACATCGTAAAACATTCTCAAGTTGTTTCCCTCACAGAAACTAAGATGGTGATACCCTGAGGAAAGAGAACCCCCATACTTGGGAATGTAAGGAAGTTCAGGAATACCTGTTAAAAGCATTTCTTTAAGCCACCAAGCAAATGGGTGCTATAAATCAGCTTTCTAGTGTTCTAATTTATATATTATCTGCCCAATCAAGCAGACTAATTGGATGCTATACATATTAACATACATTGGTTTATGATTAAATAATTTTTATGCTACCTAGGAGCATAATCTAAAACCCATGTAACCCAAATGAGTCTTGTAGTGCAAAAATTGTATCTACAGGGAGCAAGAATGAAATCAGGAATTTCTCTATGTCTATTTTTACATAAGCAAAGATGCCAAGTAAGATCCCTTAGTTGAAGACAAAGTGTCCACTCTTTTCCAGAAACCCCAAGCCTGAACTGGTCAGAGGAGTTCTCTATGAGACAGAAATTGCACAGCCATCCTATTTGCTTGGCAATCTAAATGTTCAACATTTCTGTAATAATAAACACTTTTCCGCTCTTGCTTCAGTTTTTAGAGAGTTTGAGGACTAATATAGCTTGTAGTATTACATGCAGATTTCATTTTAAACTAGGTCATTTTAGAGAGATCCTTAATATAACTGTATTAGCAACAACAACGCATAGGTATCTTCACTGAGTAGTGGACTGAGTTATTGTTACATAGTGTAGCAAAGAAACACACACAAATATACACAAGCTAGTTTTCACAATCTTACGAGAGCCTCCTGAGCCAAAAGTCTGATTCATTCCAGAGAGTCTTGCTCCCAGGTGAATATATAAAGGACTGCTACCTTAAACATGTTGGGATTGAACAGTGAAAAGTGGGAACGTACATTTCGTCTTGATATGTTTCCAACTTTTCCAGATAAAAGGGAAAGTGGAAGCTGCTTCAAGGTAAAACAGGCTGGGAGGAGGAGGATGTAGTGGGCCCTGCCTTTACAGTTCTGTCTGTCTCAATCTGGCCTTTCAATAGATGCATGAGCAGGACAAAAGACAACATTTTTGGTTGAATTCTTTGCTCTGTGAGCAAACGAAATAATGCAACTTTCCCTTTATTTTGCTTTCCCTTTCTCATTTCATTGCACGTTTGTCCAATGAAAGCTTGTTGAAACAAAATACTTTGGCCAGAAGTTCTGCATTGGTGGGAGCTGCTTGCTTCCCTGCCATATTGGCCCTGGCGCTGTCTGAGCACAGGGCAGAATCCCCTTGATGGTTCCCTGGATCTCTCTAGCAAGTCCAATCCAGCATCGGGTAGCGAGCGCGGAGGGGGGCCTGGCGCAGCTGGCAGGAATCAGCTGCTGGGGTGCAGAGACATGTGGAAGGACATTGGTGCCTCCCACTTTTCCGCCCACCTCATCAGGGTCAAAATCAGATAGTCAAAGGGATCCCATGAAAACCTCTAGTTGGGACAGGAGGTGGGTGGGTGGAGGCTGGAAGAGCAAAAGAAGAGGGACAAAACCTGACAAAAGAGGACAGAGGTACTGTTGAAATAAGCATCTACATTAGAAAGGGCAAGTTGGAGAGCATTACTAGCCTGGATTCTGTTAGTTTTAGGATAGGAAGATATTCCCGATTAGTTAAAAACAAAATAACCTGTGCACTGAAGAACAGTGTATTTGGAGATCTCCATCTCCAGGGCGACCTTTAAAGAAAGCTTGGTGTGAAAGTGTAGCTCTGATTCTTTAAACTTTTGTCAGTTTCTGCTCTTCCCTATCTGAAGATGCATATCCTTCCTAAAATTCCGGACTCTGCCTTCCATTCACCTTGTTTTGTAATGGCTGGTTAAAGCTGTGTTCTTTCATTGGCTCTTAAGTCAGTTGGAACAGATTATCTTTAAAGAGGGAGGCAAGAGAGCCCCAGTTTTAACTGTTTTTACACTGAGTTTTGAGAAGTTTGGCTGTTCAGTTGGATAAACCAAATGTGGCAGGTTGCCTGTAAAAGCAACAAATGTTGTAAGCAACATATTGCTTCATGTGTAAATCTAGCATGAAAAACATGATGTGGCTGAGCTTTTCATATGAGCAATGATGAAAAACGAGCTCTCTCTGTGCCTGAAGGCCAAATCTTTGAATTTCCATGCAGTGTGGTGTAAAAAATACACTGCAGATCTGTGCATGCTTTCTTAGCAGCCGGTCCCAGTGTCTCCTTGCTCACAAAGCATGCTTAGGATTTCATCTTAGAGGTGACTCTCCCTGCACCTTTCTGTAGTTCACCTCATTCTATTTTAATGTTGTACGGATTAGTAAATTAATTTACATTAGACGGAATGGGATAAAGTATAAACTAAGCCATTAAGTTGATTGACCACTCCTCCAGCGAACCAGTAAGTGAAGAAGTATTTTTCAACAAGTTAGGTCCAAAGGCATTCTGCATAACCACGTATGATTAAATTGACGTTTCCTCTTTTTTGATTGATCTCAGTTTTCAAAGACAGATATGCACATGTGTGCACGCACACACACGCACGCATGTACGCACCCCTCCCATGGTGACAGTCTGCATTCATTTAGACTCTGCTTGCCTCGCCACTCGATTGCTTTCTCACTGGATTTCAGTGAATGGCTCTTTAAAAGAAAAATGAGTATTTACGGCTGAGGAAATGTAATTTTGAAGTAGTAAATGTTTGATTGTTATGTATATGTCACAGCAGGTTGACAACCTTGAACAACATCTTTCTTGCCTTTTCTTCTTTTTTGGGGGGATAACTGTGGTTTGGAGGGAGTTGATGATGCTTAACCATTTAGTCAAGGCTAATATACTGTTTAATCAAATGGTATTTCAAGAAAGCTATTAATTTGTTGTGAATAATAATGTAATTTGGGTCCTCTTTAATGTTATGATTCATTAGTCATCAATTGCTATGAAATACTTAGAAGAACTTTTCTGTATAAAAAGTGACATCCTTTAAAAAAAATCAAGCATACATGTGGCTTATAAACAAAGTGTCTGAATTACAATGTCTAATTTAAGCACTCGTCCTCATTGGAATGCCTGTGCAGAGATTGACTGTTATATTTTTAAAAGGATATGAAGATGATTTTATGAATATTAACAGATGCTGCTTAGGAGAATTAATTGCAGTTTAACATTCATTTGTGAATGAGGGTAAATCTCACGTACAAATCTTTCTATAATGCCAACTAAGCATTACGGGTTTTTTCAGTATCGTGTACTTCTGAATTAGATGCCCCTCAGTTCTAGCTGGGTACAGATGTATGTAGAGGTGCTTAACTCAAATAGGCCAAAACAAGGTTTCCCTAGATTAGGTTCCTGTTAACCAGTGCAGCAGGGTCAATGATCTTGTTTTCGTATTCCTAATGGCATCTTTTTGTTTACTAAGCAATTGACAGTGGCTCACATTAATGCTGTGCGTACAGTTTACGCATCCAAATAATGCTGGCACAAAATTGGCTTGTGATTAAAATAAATGTAGAAGTTAATAAATGATTAGTAGCAGAACAAATAGGGGACAGAAATAAAAATCCGGCTAGGATCAAATTGATAGATCAGTCTGCAGATCATGCATGCTAAAAGACTAGGGTTTAAGACAATTTATCATCCAGGCCTGTGCAGGCATAAATGGAAGTAGTCCTCCTGAGTTTATTGGGACTTATTTCCTAGTAACTGATACCACCAGTCTGAGTACTGCAGTCAAGTTGCGAAATCCAAATACTCTGATTTAATTA